TATATGACTCTTACGTGCTTCCTTAGCCGTTCGATTAACTATTCCAACGTCTGACTATAGATATACGTATCATAGTCGCGGCTGATTAGCTTCGTCCTCTATGGTTGAAATCATCAGTACAGGCTTTCTAGCAATATCTTTCGATAAAGTCGATAAGATTATCGATCTTGAGAACTCGTTGTTTTCGAATGGTTATTTCGGCTACTTTCTCAATACCTCGTAGGATTAAGAAAAAAAAAAAAAAAAAAAAAAAAAAAAAAAAAAAATGAAAAAGAGTGGCCAAGCCAAAAATCCAAAGATTTCTTCTAGGATGGCAGCGAGGACTTGTTCGGTGGTCCGTTTCGTTGTACCCATTTCTACCCTTCCATTGGAAGGTGCACTCTGTGCCGAATGGGAGCTACAATGAGTTTCTATTACCGTGCAATAAATTCACAGGTACCTGACGTGTCTGCAAACACTGCAAAAGAGGATGGACCCGTTCCACTGACCTTGTTTGCGAAAACGGTGCATCGTCCAAAGGCAAAATTTGCAAGCGTGCCGAGAGACTAACGATCGAGCATCCTCCGTTGCTTCCAATGAGCGTCGCCAAATTGTGAACTGGCCCTTTTGCCAATAATAGACCAAAGTCCCTCGTAAATCAGCAGCGCGTGTCTCTTTGCAGTTTTGACAATGAATTTTGCACGGATCGACATGTCCCACGGGCAACCAACGAAACGAGTTCTCAGGTGCACGGGTGCCAACGTGAACGTGAGAAAATTTTCAAAATTTTTTTTTTCACTCTTATCCATCCTTCCTGTATCCCAAAAATACTTGGCATATTCTCATATCCGATTGACCGATCGATCCATTAAATCTACCGGGTCATCAAGGTCTTCTCCAAAGAGCAATAGTTATCGGGAAACCGTTCTGGCTATTTATAATTCTAAAAGACATTCGAGACGGACAGTCAGCCAAGTAAGTAAGCGAGAGTGAGTAAGCAGCCGACGAGCGAAGTCGTACATTTCCCAGGTAGTGCGGCAGCTTTCTTCTGACATAACCGAATGAAGGCGCGGGCCGCCGTTATGCAATTCGAAAGTGCTCGCCTTACTTTACGTATCGCAAAGGTACCTACGAGACTGCAGACCGCTATTGGCATTACTGAAACCTCAAGATCCTCTTCAGGCCCGTACGAGCAAATATTGGTATACTCACCGTATTAAATTGCACAACCGATAAGGCCCAAAATACTAAGTGCACCTCTAGCAAAGATCGAACGAAAGGTCCGAACTGTCCGAAAAAAGTAGACCGTACACTGTCACGTATAATATCAAGCCGATCTACACAGTTCTATGTAGTTCTATGTAGTTCTATCTACACAGTTCTGTGACCTTTTTGAGAAAGGCTGCTGGGAGTCGAAGAAAAAAAAATGGCTCGAACGCGGATTCTACCGCGCTAGTTGTGCAACGCTTACGTCCGCGTTACGATACCAGTGTCAACTAATATATTAAACAGCCAAACCAAATATATGCTCGTATAAAGTCTAACGGAATATTTATATTAATGTGATACGAGTATGGCGTCTCCCTGTGCATATACACGTATACTGTAAATATATTAATAGTGTGAAAAGCAATGCCGGCACTTCTCTCACATGCGTGACGGTGAAAGTGAACAGTGCTTTCCCCCATAAGCGAGGCTCGCGCCTCCCCCCTCGCAGTCTCCTTTAAACGCAAGCATTACGGGGTTATGTCATAGCGGACTATGCATATGAGAGTATACACGTATATATATAAAGACCATAGACGCTCTCGCACAGCCTTTCCCCTCGGCGAACGAGAAGACAGGATGGTCCCACCAGAAGGGAGTAAGAGACCGAGCTTAGACTTAATAAAAAGGTAAATTAAGGCGAGTTTTCATGGGGGTACGAAAAATATAATTTCACTCGTTCGAATAGATTCGACGGAACGAGGAAACGATAATCCAACGTCAATTTCTCCAGTTTCACTTTCACCGGGAGACTTTTGGGGGCCCGTAGCCCATATTACACCCGTACGTAATACACGCGTGCGGTGAGAGCAGTCGGCTACACCGTAAGGCCCATTTTGGCTAACGGCGACTCGTGCCGATTCGAGCGACTCTCCTCTTTTAAAATCCCAGACTCAATTTCTCTGGCAGCCAGCCGAATCCCGTAATGGCCGCCACGGGATTCGACACAGTCCAAGCCTTTGGTTTCGTCTGTTTTCGCCGGCTAATAGTCTCGGCAGTTGGTACAGTCGGAATATGCCAGTAGGGGCAGCAGTAGTAGGGAGCTCAAAGCTGAATATTAGGCAATCTAACGCGTCCAAGGCTAGCCGAGCCTTGAGCCGCCTTTCCAAGTGTTTCACTGACTCGCCGCTGCGCGACTAGACGCTAGATTCACCTAGAGTCTCTTTTGCTATCGAGCTATGAGATTTCTACCCCCCCCTCCCCCTCCCACCCTCCCCCCGTCCCATCGCGCACTATATCGCCGACGTGAAAACACCAACGCACCAATACACGAGCGTCATCTCTATTTCTTTTCCCCTCTCTCGCCCACCCCCCCACCCGCCG